GTTTCGTGCAACAATGATACAAACAATATTTCACTGAAAATCTTTCCTCATCCCATTTTCGAGCTTGCACTCGCAGAGTTAATACTAGAGATTAAATAAATCATGTTCCCTCAAAACTAAATCTGCTGACTCTCTTTTTAACCAACTTTCGTATATTGTGTGACCAACCAACTCATATTTAATATCACATTAAAACCCCTAAGGTCTAAGAAACTCAATCAACTAGTTACTGATGTTTCCCAATGTTGACCCTGCACCTTGATTACACAACATCTCTAAAACACAAAATCACCCATAGGAGTTACCACAGTCAAATCATACTCAAGTGTTTTTGGGTTTCACACCAAATCACACTACTACTCTAGGAGACACAGAAGAATATATAGGCCCTAAAATTCCAGTAGTGTCAGTTATATTTCTTACAACACACTTTTCATCCAATTTTGCAACTCTCTTATTTGTACAAAATACCGAGCAAATTAACTAGTCTTAGTCACAACACAAATCATTCTATTGACTATTAACATCATTCTACATCCCTCGAACTAAAACTGATTAAAATCTACACAACAATTCAAATCCAGCCTAATCTTCTATTAATTCATAAACTTATGCTCTGATACCAAACTTGTCATACTCTCACCCCGGATCACATAAGGTGGGCAGCGGACCGGCCACCAATGCCTTAACCAACTAATTCTGTGCATAATAAATACAAAATACAACGAAAGACAAATAATAAAGTGTTTCATTCCACTGACTTAATGAATACTAGAGAAATAAACTAAACATCATCAACATCATTACTAAATCCATGTAAAATGATAGTCAAACTGTACGGTTCACTACTTCAAACATAAGCAACCTTGTTCCCAAAACAATTAAATACTTGTTTCAAAACTATAAAAGACATTTATTCCTGAAGACCTACAGTAAAATAAATTTTCAAGTCCTCTAATCCCTTATTTATCTGCAGACTGACTCCTCACTCTGATCCTCACCTGAAAAATATTAAATATTTGGATGATCACAATAGCCCGTGAATAGAAATTACCTCTAATAAAGTGTGAAAATAAATCCACAGTTTATATACAAAAATAAAATTGATACATATATAAGTACAACAAATTGTATCACAACCCCTCTCACATAAATCATTGAAACAAAATGATTTCATGATCACAAATAACTTTATAAATGAAAAAAATATTTATAACTTAAAACACCTCTCATTTTCACAAATAACTTTATAAATGAAAAAATATTTATAACTCAAAACACTCACACACATTCAGTTCTAAATATATTTGTCAAATCATGTATGTTACAACTAGCCTGGTAACTAACTCAGTCTCTTGTGTACCACTAGCCTGATATCTGGTCCAGTCTTTTGTCATCACTAGCCTGATGACTGATCCTATTTTTTGTTACCACTAGCCTGGTAACTGACTCAATCTCTTGTCATCACTAGCCTGATGACTGACCCAGTCGCTTGTTATCACTTAGACTTGGTAACCCCAGTCACCGTCTCATAAACATGATTTTCACACACACTAAAACTGTAATTTTAATCCCAACGCACACAAAATTTTTCTTTCATCACCAAAGTAATGATATGAAATCATCCCACAAGTTTTCCAAAATTCATATGTATAACAGTTCACAATTTCAAAATATTTAATTGCAACTACAAACATCAGCAAATATATCATATATATGAAAAATCCACACGCACGCACCCACACATTTGATATAGAAAATCCTTCCAAAAGAGGTAATAACTACTCACTTTGATTCTCAAAATCTAATTCAAAGCTCTCTTTCCCAACCTCAATGAAATCACCATTTAATCCAATAATAACATATAACGATCAATTCTTATTCCTAATTTTGTCCTTTCGCGATTCTATATTTAAAATTTATACTTTCTATCCATTGATATATATACTTATATATCATTTACATATAAATATCTTTTCTAATATGAGGTAATAGAGTATAGAAGTATTCTGGGCTATTTAGAAAAATTTCTAAAGTTTTGGAGTCAAATCATAATTTTTAAAACTTTTGGAGTCAAAGTATAATTTTCTTGAAAAACGAATTTTTTGTTTTCAGGGCTGCCATAAAATTTCTAAAATTCTATTCTTCTAACCTACCAAGTAAAACAGTGGTTAAAATTAAATTTAGAAGAATATAGGGGTCAAAGTAAAGCTATTTGAAACTAAAGATGAGCTTTCTGTAATTTTCGGATTTGGTCTTCTTCCTACGGTAAAACCTGCAACCAGTAACTTCCTTTCCCCCTTTTTACACATTGATTAAATTTCTTAAAACTTCAAAACTAACCAATCTAAATTAGATCTAAAAACATATAAATTAACATCTTTCACTAAAACCTATTTTCATATTCATAGTCAAGAGTCATTATGCTGTTATAAGTAGGCAGAGTGTATAACTGTATATAATTTATCTTGAGCTAAGCTATAAGAGCTTATTTAATAGATTTTTTAGATCGGACGACAGTATAACTGTCATTATCTTTATCATCACTTTTATGTGAAGATGAAAAACTTTCTTTAAGAAGTTGATTATTAACAATTTTAAAATTTTGAGATTCAGTTAAAGGGAGATAATAAACATTGACTTGGGCTTTTCCACCAGGCCGACCTCTGCAGCGGCCTCGACCACGGATACTACTTTGGTCTTGATTAATGGGAACCCTACAAAAATTCTCGAGTTAAAAAATCGAAAAGAGAATTTAATTCTCCTTTAACATATTCAATTTTAAAATAAAAAACAAATAAGATAGCCTGTCATCGTGTAAATATTTGTTTAGATGTAATATTCTTTACATCTTGTTCAATAACATTTTTAGCAGAGTTACAATCAATTTTTAGTAGAAATGCTTGATTTAATAAATCATCTTGAAATTTATTAACACATTTAACATTAGATAAAATTTACTTTTTAATAGTAGAATAATTAAATTTAGTAGATCCCCATTTTCCTGAAGTAAATCAAACAAGTAATTCTTTAGTAGAAGTAGGATCTCTTTGTTTAAGAATACCTCCATATCCTTTATCTGAGGCATTAGTTTTAACAATTTTAACCTATGTTGGATTTTATCAAATAAAGACATGGTAAATATTTAGCTTTCAGTTTTATTTTTTTTACTGTTTCTGTATGATCATTTGTCCAAAGAGACGGATTTTTCTTAAATCTAGAATATAAAATAGTAGTGTCCTTAGCAAGATTTTGATAAAAGTTAGTTAAATAATTTAAACTTCTCAAAAATCTTTGTAATTGCCTTTTATCTTTAATTTCATCCAAAAATTTGGATGCAAATTCAATACTCATTTCAATTTGGACTATATTCCCTTGTTCAATATAATGACCTAAAAATCTTACTTTTAATTGAAATAATTTCATTTTAATAGCAGAGAGAACAAGACCATTATTTTTAACAATTTGAATGAATTTATTCAGATGTTTAAAATGATGATCAATAAAATTAGAAAAAATTAGTATATCATCAATATAAATGATACAAAATGCATAATAATGATATTTCTTTATGGTATATATTTTTCAATATTCTTCACCATATATATATATATATATATATATATATATATGAACCTATGTTATTGAATAAAATACAAAACTCATAAATTAAGGAATAAATTCATACCTTTAATGGATTCGAGTCCTTTCTTTCTTTCCTCCTCCTTCTTCCGTCTCTCTCTCTCTCTTCTTCTTTGTTCACGGGACAGTCCCTCTACAAGCTCATCAATAAAAAAAAACCCTATAAACCTAAATATATTTATATATATACGAAAGATTTGACCTATCCAACAATACTATCATATTTAAACCATATGTATAATAGTCATAATTAGTCTCTATAATTATATGATTTTCTCCCTACACCAAAAAGCTAAATTATTTCCATTGATTTCCAAAGCTTATCCACAAACCCATAAGACAAACCCTAAACCAAATAAAAGTTTAAAACTTCTCAAATCCAACTTATTTACTTTTATTTTTTTTATTGTTATTTCATTTTTTTTACCTTGGATATTACATAGATGGTTACATCATATCAACATTTACTGATATGGTGTAACTATTTCACCCAATATTTACTCATAATGCAGATACTACACTCACCCCATTTTTGTTCATTTCCGCAACAATTTCACTCACTCTAGTATGGTGTATTAGTTGTCTTTCTTGTTCCTCAATTGGCAATAGTGACCCCACTTGAAGAGCTTGGGAACCCAATACTAAGTCGATTTTAGGAATAAGTTCTAGTACGGAAGTTCTTTCCTAGTAATCTGCAAAATGATGGTGCATATGTCTCTGTCCAAATGTGAAGATAGGCCTGGCCCATCTCGAGTGAGTTTACTGAGACATAACAAAGAGGCCCATCGCGAGTGATAGGCTCGTAGATGGGCTCATTAAAAGCTCAAGGATCAAAAGCAAACAAATCTCATTTACCGTAGTGCCAGGGTTAGCCCAAAAATATTTGAGGCCGGAGATAAAAATTTTAGATCAGGCCTTAAATTATTTTTAGATGAACAATTTATTTATTTTTATTTTTAAATTTTAAATATATAAAATTTATATCTTTTAGAGGTGTATTTAAAGTAATAAACAACTTACAAAATAAATGTATTATATACCTGATTATATAAAATTTAAGTAAAAAATTATATATTTAAAAAATAAAACTGAATAAATAGATGAGAATTATTATAAATTCAGATAAAATAAGAGCATAAAATTTTATTATTTTATGTATAAAAATATACTACAATTTTTTTTTTTGTTGATAAAAATAATAATGAATTAGATTGATTTTCTTTTGGAAACAAGGAGCATATAAGACTAACTTAATCCACCCTTTCAATATCCAAACCGACTCCAACGGTCACTAAATTAATAATGTTCAATACAAGACAAGAAAGATTATTTCCTAATCGGTACTTCGGAAAAGAGTCGGTGTCCGCCAGTATAATTTCTCGCGCGGCAGAGTCTACATGAACGCATCAGAAATCAAGGCCACCCAAGCCTCCGTAGCTCCTCCGCTCTACTTCTCCATCTCCATCTCCGAACAGCGACGCCACGAATTCCAACGGAGGCTGGAGCTATGCCACGAACAGTTGTCGGAGTAAAAGCTAGATAGTCTTGGGCTATACCTTTCCACCTAGGGTTTGTTCTTGTCTTCCTTCTCATATCAACCTTCAATGTATTGAAAAAGCTTGATAATCTTGGGCTTTACCTTCAAGCCTAGGCTTTCTTTCTTTCTTTCTTTTTTTTGTTTCTCTCCTCTCTCATATCAAGTTTAACGTGTTGAACAAGTCAGTTGGTCCAGTCGCTTACAAAAAGAAAAGAAACTAATGCAAGCGCGAATTGCTTCAAGTTGTTTTAGGGCTCGGGGGCTCTTTTTCGACAGAGCAGAGACGGTGATTGTGAATTCCTGTCGCATGTCGTTTCGTCACAATCCCATCATTATTCCCTCTCGCCCTTTTTGTTCTCAAACATTCGTGTCATGCCAATCTCGTCGTATATTCACTAGGCAACTCTCCACCAAGCATAAACCATGGGAATCTTCAAGAACCGTCCCATATCTTCATAACACATCGATGCCTTCCTCTCAGATTCCCCGACCAGGCCTCCCCAACATCTTGTAAGTCAAGGATTCTTTGCTTTGAATGCATGCCATTTGTTTGTGTTTTTTATGTCTGACGATGTTTGTACAAGTATGGGAGTACATTATGTTTTTGTGAATTTCTTTGAAAGATTTGATGAACAGGGTCCGATACCAAAGGGGCTTGCAATGTTTTCGACATCAACTGGGGGAGATGTAATGGGTGCAATACAGGATGCGAAACAAGTGAAGTCTACGACGGTCGTGAAAGGGGTCGTTTCAGAAGAGGGAATTCCAAGCACCAAAATTGTTAGTACTCTTGCAAAATACTTACGGATGAAAGATAATCTTGAATTCCGTTTGCGGGTGATCGCTGCTTTGGGTTTCTTGGTTGCTGCCACGGTGAGCGGATCGATAATATTGTTCGTATGTGCATGCAAAGGCAGTGAATAAATGGTATTCATTGTTGATTACGGAATAAGTGGTTGTGCTGTTGTTGTTTAGATACTGAATGTTCAGGTGCCTTTCTTATTTAAGCTTGCTGTTGATTGGCTAAACACGGTAACAGGAAACGCCAGTGCTCTTGCTGACTTCACTTCTGCTAATTCGACTGTTTTAGCTCTGTTTGTGAGCCCAGGAGCCATTTTGATTGGATATGGTATAGCACGGTCATGGGCTTCTGCTTTCAACGGTATGTCACTATGAAGTAATTTCTAATGCTGTCCTGATTCCATATATATGTATCCCTATTCTTTTTTCTTTCATCTGTTTTAGAAGTTGGAGATCTTTGTCATGTTCTTGTACTTGGATCTTTATTAATGTACTTTTCCTATCTATGACACTTTGAGATGTGGGATGTTAAAATCTCCATTTTAATTCATATAGTTTCTTGCGGATCTTTTGTTTCAGAGTTGCGAACTACAGTGTTTTCTAAGGTTGCACTGCGAACAATTCGATCAGTTTCGAGGAAGGTATATGAGATATGTATCTTCACTTTATATGTCATCACTGATTGAGGAGTGAGGACCCATCAGAGCACTTTTTTTTAATAGATTTCATGTTTTCTTCCCCTGCTCTCCCCTTCTTTAATTAATTTTGTTAATGCTCTGGGGTTGGGGGATATATTGGTATGCTTCACAATCTGTATTGAACCCATTGATTTACTGAGACCTCTGTGACTGCAAAGTACTAATAGGGTTATGTTCCATCAATATTCATCCTTCATGCAAAATAAGTAGAGGTGCAAGGTGACGGAGTAAATTTTTTTGGCCCTAGAGAACTGTTGTTCAGCTGGTTTTTATTTGCTGAAGATACAGGTGCTTTAACAAATTATACAAAGAATGAAAGAAACATACACGAATAGGAATCCGTATATATCTAAATACAGAACATTACCAGGAGAGTGAACGAACCTATGGGCAGACATGGTCATAGCTATCATTTTCTTGATTTAAGTTGCTTATGAGGATATTAAGAGGGTAAAATGCATTATAATAGGCAGACTGGGAGGTTCATACTTTTCATATCTACTAGCAATGCAACACGTGCGTTGCAACTTGCATGGAAAAGTTTTTGTTAAAATATTTGATAAAATATATACAAATTTAATTATATAGTTAAATTATATATTGTCTCATATTTATCATATTTAAATTGCTTGTATTGCGGATGAATGGAATATATATATATCGATTTTTTGGCATCGGAGATAATATTGTATCAATAAAGTTGTCGATGTGTATAAATATTAGAGTTTAGAAAAAAAAAGAACAATATTTTTACAGTATCATGAGCATTTAAAAATTTTGCGAAGATAGAGGTTTACATAATATGTTAGAGGTTAGTTTGTTATTTAAGTATAGAAAGATATAATGATAATCTGCATATTTAAATATAAAATGACATATTAGTTTTCATAATTTTTTATAAGGTCAAAATAGTGAATCAAAATTTTTTCATATAAGGTACTTTTATTAGTAGTATAAATGATGAGACTTTGAGATGTGGGATGTTAAAATCTCCATTATAATTCTTATAGTTTCTTGCGGATCTTTTGTTTCAGAGTTGCGAACTGCAGTGTTTTCTAAGGTTGCATTGCGAACAATTCGATCAGTTTCGAGGAAGGTATATAAGACACGTTTTTTCACTTTATATGTCTGCACTGATTGAGGAGTGAGGACCCATCAGAGCACTTTTTTTTAACAGATTTCATGTTTTCTTCCCCTGCTCTCCCCTCCTTTAATTAATTTTGTTAATGCTCTGCGTTTGTGGGGGATATGTCGGTAGGCTTCACAATCTGTATTGGACCCATCGATTTACTGAGACCTCTGTTTGCAGGTATTTTCACATTTGCTTGAGCTCGACTTACAGTATCATCTTAGGTACTGCCCGGAGAACTTTCTGTTCAGCTGAATTCAAATTTTGTTGCTCTAATTGTTTTTATTAATACTGACCACAGCTAGGACCCCTGTGCTTATTGTGCTTGTGGTATGGAGCGGCCACGGGTTGTACTCTTTAGGAACTTTTTTGTTTTTCTTTTCCCTTTCAGATTACCTAACTGGTCACTTCCGTTATGTACTCATTTTCATACTCTATACTTTGGAATGATTACTCTCCGACTTCAAATACAGTTCAAAAGGGTAGAAAAGATTTGATAAGCTGATTGTTGAAGTAGCAGTGCAAAAGATATAGATAAGTCTATAGCAGTTATATGTGTGATTATTGCAATAGTTTTACATATTAGAACAAGATAGAGACAGTTGGTATTAATTGAGATCCTTTTTCGTAGTATGCTCGTCATTACAGTTGATGCTCTTACCACCTCATATGGGGCAATTTTATTTCAGCATATCATTTGGTTAGATTGCACATCTTTTATGAAAATACAATCTGACACTTCTCAGCAAAATAACATCAGGTCTTCACTTCCGACGTTACTGTCCATGTTAGCCTGCCTTGCTGCCTGAGCAAGAATTAATTCTTGCTCATTTTGTTGGGCTAATACTGTGTAGCACACTTGTTATGTTCCAAATGATGATAAATATTTGTTCTCGTCTTAATTGTTTGCTATAATTTTTTTTTTCTTTTTTACAGTCGAGAAACAGGTGCATTGAGTCGGATCATTGATCGTGGTAGCCGTGGTATTAATTTTATTCTTTCATCTATGGTGTTCAATGTTGTACCAACAATCTTAGAGGTACTCTGTTATATTAGAGAGCAGAGTGGTTTCAATTTTGTCGTCATTCCCTTGCTTTCATTTCTCCAACTCCAAATGCAACTTTGGCAGATTTAACATGTATCATTTCAGATCTCCATGGTATCAGGTATTCTAGCATACAGTTATGGAGCCCCTTTTGCATGGATCACTTCCTCGTCAGGTGTTGCTTATGTGGCATTCACGTTGTTTGTGACACACGTACATATTCTTTTTAAGTGTATTTGTATTATGCTTCTTTCCCAACTTGGCTCGCCATTTTTGGCAACTCTAATAATATCATAGAGAGAAAAAGGTGGCAGAGAGAGCAAATCAGTTAGATTTGTTTTTGTAACATTATGTAGTCTCTACTTTGCATCTCTTACGTCGTCTTTTCTCCCGTCCCTTTTCTTCCTTGTTTGTTTTGAAATTACTCTTTCTCCTAAATATTTGTTGTTTCGGCTGTCCAGATTTCTACTTTTACCTTTTCTCGTCATATCTCGCCCTTTCTCCATCTGGCCTGTGTGCTTCGTGCAAGAACGCATATCAGAATGCATGGGCTGGGGGATGTTGTATGTTTTCTATTTCCCTTTCTCAATGGTGATTACCTTTCTTCTTAAGGTTTCCCTTCCATTTTATCTATTCTTAGTGGAGGACTAAGTTTAGGAAGGCAATGAACAAAGCTGATAACGATGCAAGTACAAGGGCAATTGATTCACTTATTAATTATGAGGTGAGTAACGAGTTTGTGATGTGACATTCTTGAATATCTTTCTTTTGATGTAGCTAATCAAAAGAAAAAAAATATATATAAGAGTGTCTTTCTTTTGATGTTATAGTACTGTCCTATATTTCATCGTCATGCTCTGTATAAGTTGGTAATGTTTCACATTTGGTGTTATATTGTCAGACCGTAAAGTATTTCAACAACGAGGCATTTGAAGTTGCGAAATACGATGAATTTTTGAAGAGTAAGTTGCTTGTACTTCACAGAAGCCCTTCTGTTATGATGTAGTGTAGTTCAGTGGAATGTGACTGATTCTAAAGGTGAAGGGAAAATGGGAATCTCATATTCAAGCTGATGTCGTTGGGTGTTGGGATTTAATTTGCTATTGTTGTCGGTTGAAAAACATAGATTCAATTGATATTTGCTAGTGGTTAGGGACGTTATTGCTAATGTATAGACACAGACCCATGCGTTGACTCTTGACACTTTCAGATGTCCACAACTTGAGTGGGTCCTATCTTCTAAACAACTGGATATGACCAATGCAATAATGATTTTCGATGGATGGTGTATCTGCATTTATTTTCTGTCGTCCTAGGAGTTTAGAAACTGTGTTATTTCATTGACTTTTTTCCTTTGTATTTGAATAAGTAAGTCCAATAGATTCATGATGACGATGTTATCTTTCAGGATATGAAGATGTTGCCTTGAAAACACAACAAAGTCTTGCATTTTTGAACTTTGGGCAAAATGTAATATTTAGCATGGCTCTGTCAGCAGCTATGGTGCTGTGCTCACTTGGGATTATGGATGGCAAGATGACAGTTGGTGATTTGGTAGAACGGTTATGAGCTCACTTGTTTAGCTTTCTTGCATTCAGAAAGATTGAGAATTGGTCATTAAAATTAATTGACACAGGTGATGGTAAATGGGCTCCTATTCCAGCTGTCTCTTCCTCTCAACTTCCTTGGCAATGTATATCGGGAGACTGTACAAAGTCTTATCGACATGAAATCCATGTTTCAGTTACTTGAGGTAACTGCCAAACCCTTGCAGTTTTCGATTCTATAAATCCAATTTGAGTTTGATTATTTTGCAGTCAATCCATTGTTTGGTAATATACTTGCTGGGGTTTGGGCTTGGAAGCCACGTTGAGTAAACACTAGGACGTTTGTTTTGCCTTGCTAAACCCGTCAAGTCCAAACCAATTCACATCAGCAAGCCTGTAGTAAAAATGTGAGTCTGTTTATGTAGCCTGACCCAAATTTCCTAGCACGTTTAGTTGCATTCAAGCTCTACCGTCAAAACTTGAAGACTTTTTAAGTCCTTAAGTTTGTTAAGCACAGTAGCACGCAAGCGATGGAATACAAGCTCAGATTGCCAAAGCAGGATAGAATGGATGATTACCAAAGCAGGACTGAAGAGATGACCTTTTTAATACCTCTCAGCTTAGGGCAATCATTTTAACAATAATTAAGCCCATGGTGGATCAAATGGTCCTATTGCAGTAGTTGTCTGGTAAAATTGGAGCAAATAATCAATTGGGAAGGAACTGTGAACAGTAGGTTGCAGCATCTGCAGACAGCAAAATCAACTTGACAGAGAAAAGAATAGACCTCTCATTCCTGCAGGCGCCAATGCTTTATCCTTTAAATATATAATGGTTATCATGCACATCAAATTCAATGGCAGCTACGCTATCCTAGTCATACATCAACCATCGGAAGTGGAGGGACTATATATCAATCATCGGAAGTGGAGGGACTAATACTCTAGAACCAAATCAGTGATCCTTGTGAGCAACTTTTTTTTCCATTCTTGTTTAATTTTGTGTGGTTTCTCATCCATTGTGATAGCATTATGGCTTTCATTGTGCTAGGCTTGTTTGTCTTCTGTCAAAAGTGTTTGGTGGTTGAGTTGCCCATAACCCTAGAAAGGATTATTTTTGTACTGCAATCACTAAGTTATGGAGTTTCTCGTATGAGAAGAGAGGCTTCAGCTTGAATTTCATAAGTCATGGAGCAGAAATGAGATGGATGTGGGGACAGTCTTGTTTTTAGATAGAGAAATAGTAAGTGCAAGTGTGTGTCTAGTTTCTCTTATCAGTGTCGCACGTTATAAAATTTGTAGCACTCTAGAATTTCCACCTTGTAATTGTTTTGTTATCATGGCGTTATAATTGTTGACTTCCAATTGTTCTGCAGGAGAGGGCTGAAATTAGAGATGATGATGATGATGCGAAACCTTTGAAATTGGATGGGGGCAGCATTCAATTTGACAATGTTCACTTCAGGTGCATCTTTATGTCTTAGTATTTGTCCTTGTACATGGTAGGGCGTGGTATCTTGTGTTTCAACAGTATACCAATACATGTGTGTTTTATCATATTCAGCAAGTAGCACATGGACATGGTGCTAGGAACGCCAGTGTTTGTTCATTTATCTATATGAACATTAATTTGGATTTCGTAAAATACTCTGGTTATACTATGCAAACCACCTAAAGTTCTCTACATTGTAAAAAGCTTCACTCTTGTGCAGGGACAGGGGCAAGATTTTTTTCCCAAGGAGGAGGGCCTATTAGTGGGAATTTTTATACAATGGAGGATAATTAGATGAGTTGTAGTCTATGAAGGACGGACACTCTTGAGAATGTGACGTATCCGTGTCAGACACCGTCACTCTTGGACACGTGTCCGATACCCTTTTTTAATTGTATCCTTAATTAAATGAAAAAATTTTAATTTTGGATATGTGTCCGACACTTCTTTGTTGGCGTGTCTGACAATTCTTTAGAACGTGTCTACTACTAAATAATAAACATGTGTTGAAATGTGATTAATAAAGTTTAAAATTTTGAAAACATATAATTACTATTACTAGACATGTTAAAGTTGTACTCCAAATATAATAATAAAAACAAAATATGTATAAAAAGTTAAAAAAAGAGGAATTGAGAAAATAAAAGCAATTATTTAAATTATATATTAGGTACACATTGTCTACAAAAAAAAATTGATGATTATTGACTAGTATGTCGATGCTTTAGTCTAAAAATTCACACAAATGACTATACATAAGATTTTCTTATCATAAAATATTGAATCTTTTATGAATTGCATATCATTATCACTATATTTGCAATAAATTATATAATGTTGTGTATAAATAAAATTTTTTGTAACGTATTCCCAACGTGTGATGCCCTACTTTTTTTGAAAAATATCGTGTCCGTAACTGTGTCCCGTGTTCATGTTCTTGTCCGTGCTTTTTAGGTTGTAGTTAATGTTAAAATTTCTAATTGTATTTATTTCCATAATATCAAAAAAATTAATTCAAACTTGTCAAAGAAATAAGGATTTAAATGAATTTCAAATCAATTCATCAAATTGTCACCAATTCAAGTTCAATTTTACCACGTAATAGTTTGAGTCTAACTAAGTGTCATCATGTAGCAAAGTACAAAAAGCCGAACACAATGAGGTAAAGAGTGCAGATTTCTCAAAAACCTATTATATACAATTTTGGACCCTATATACGTAATATGAAGGATTTGGGTTAATTAAACTCTATATGTTTTAACTATGATAATGCTTTCATTTTTGTTATCGATTTGAGTATATTGCACATTGATCATTGAAATTTTGTGATATTTTGTACATGTCATTAAATTTTGTTTTGCACATATAATTTAAAAATACCCAATGAGACTGTTTTGAATGATTGATTGCAAGGATCAAAGTTTCATCATTGGGCATAATTTTGGTCAACTTAGAAATGGTAATGTTTCACAAATGATTTGAAAATATGTCAGAAAAAAAATAGAAAGAGAAAAAATATGAAAATTTATTTTTGAAACATTGGTCGTTTGATTTCGATATTCAATATTTGATTTGTTTTGGTGTACATGAAAACAAAAACGTTTCAGTGAAAAGAATAAAAAAAATTTGATCCTTGGTTGATTGTGCACTGTGTCCAAATCAATAGTCAAGGGATAAAAGAAAATCAAGAACATATTGAAGGTATAAGATATAATTTCAAGAACGTGAGAGTGCCATGTAGAGAGAGATCAAAAAACATAATTTTTGAGGTATTAAAGCATAATTTTGAAAACTTGCCCCCCTAGGCCATTTCATGGCTCTGATCACTGCTCTCATTGAGAGAGTTCTCCCTTTCCTCCTGCTACCCCCTCTCCCTTTCCCAAACTGAGAAAGAGGTAAAATCTAGAGCATGGGATGGACGAAAAGTTTGTATTGTCATGCTTGCTTTGACCTTCTACATGTATCGTCATTTATAGACTTATAGTTCTCCAACTTGTAAGAATGTCATATGGTTTCTGTAGCAGTTTCCTTATGTTATGTGTACTTTCCAGCCTTCACTGCCTTTTCTTCATTGTATGTCAAAACTTTTTGAATTTAAATAGTTGGTCGTTTATCTTTTTTATTTTGGCAATTATACTTCAAATTCGGTTGTCGAAATCATGTTATCTTTGTTACTTTGTGATTACAAAAGATATACTTGCTGGATCTTTCCTTCAGAAAAACTTTTGATTGATGATTTCCAGACCCACATGGTTTGCCAGTTTACTCTTGAGCCAGGACCATACTTTATCTGGATATGCCAGTATATTCTGATTTAGTGCTAATGGAATAATTGAACAAAATTTTCGGATTGGCAATACTTTGCTGGTTCTCTTATGTCCTTGATGAGTATTTTGAAAATCTGAATAAGAAGAATTTGAAAGAAGCATTGCTATGTCGGTGTCTACTCTCTATATTTGGGATATAATATAAATTTTGATTTGCATGGCATTGAAAATTTCATGGATTCGATGGATGCTGAATTATTACTTTTTCCTCAATATGTCCTCATACTTGTGCACATGTATGGCTTGTTCTGTCTTTCTGTATATATGTCTATCTTGAGGTGGTACAATTCACATTGTATGTTGTCTGCCATGTAATTTGTTTATGGTACTATTTTGGATGGTGTTCTGGATTTTCACTTGCTGATGCATATTCTTGGTTCCACTTGCCTTAGCTATATACGAGAAAGAAAGATTCTTGATGGGATATCCTTTTTTATTCCAGCTGGAAAAAGTGTGGCTATTGTTGGAACCAGTGGTAGTGGTAAGGCTTCAGATGCGTTCTAATTGTTTTACCCTACTTGTTCTCTATTTTGAATCTAAAGTGCTTTTTGATGCAAACTTTTCAAATGTTAATGGTTCATGTTTTATTTTTTCTCCATGGTGAGATGATATAAATTTCTCTTCTCTTTCATTATCTTGCATGAAATTCTTGCTTAATTCCAAAGTCTGCTATGAATAACTTGGAGAACACTGAGGTTTTATCTAGCGGGAGAACAGTACGATTAACTGCTCATATGAACCATGTTTGGTCACTAGTAAAAAGAAGGGGTTGATGATTTATTGCAGTTTATACACACTACGATTACAATTTATAAGTAAAAATGATAATAAAGAAAAACTTTGAAGAGAAGTTATTTTTGGTTGTGCGTCCCCCCGCTTCTCCCCCCAAAAAAAAAAAAAACAACTAAGCCATCCTCGTTTTGGTATGGAGAAGATATAGTGTAACAAATAAGGGTTAACTATGTCGGAGGTCCCCCAAAGTATGCGCTGAATGTTATTTTGGTTCTTAAAGTATTGAATGTGTGTTTATGTGGTCCTTCAAGCTGACGGTGTTTAACTAAACGTAATCCCAAAAAGGTTATTTATTGGAAAAAGTATGTTGAACCGTCAACAAAAAACTCAAACCCACTCTAGCAACCCTTTTCCTCACCTGTCCAGGTCCTCTTTGCTTCCCAACCCCAAGCTGCAATATCTCCTCCCCTCTCCCCTTGCTCCAGCAACCCCCTCCCTCAGTCCAACTGTCTTCTCTTCCCTTTCTCATCACCCCCCATCCCTCAGCCCAACTATCTTCTCTTCCCTTTCCAACCCCAATTTGCATAACCCCCTTTCTCACTGTGTTGCACCCTGCCCACCACAACTATTACCATGGCAACCTAAACTGAAGTGAAACCCAACTCCAATGAAATCGTCCAACACATGAAGGGCTGAGTGCATTGCTTACCATGCACTGCATGTTCCTTAACCCACCATTGAATCTTCAGCCCCACCATTTTCTCTAACTCATTTCATGCCAAACCGATCTAATTATGCAAATGACCAGAAGCAAAATGGCGGGGAAGACTTATCAGAAAAACAATGACAGGGATGACCAAAAATTACCTCTACAAATCTCGAAACCCTTTTCAAAATTCAACTGTCAATTGAAGTCCAGACCTATTCACCACCCTGCACTGCCGGTTCATCAATGAAACACAAATCCAAAAAAATTCTCAACAATCATAATCCATGGCTAATAGATTCAAATTTCATGAATTGGGTTGAATTTGGATTGTATGTTCATGAGTCGTGTGTGTATGTGTGCTCATGCTTCAGTAGATGTGCGAGTATGAAGAATGAGGACCTTCCATTGTGCACTGGAAACATTTGTTACTCTTCAAAATGAGAGATGTGGAAGAAGATTGTACTTCTATCTTAGGTAAAGAATTTGCAGCTTTGTTGCTGCAAAACCAATGACCAAAGAGGCTGGTGGAGGGATGGCAGACAGATAGTTTTTTCCATTATGAGGACTCCATGAGCAGTTGTGAACTTTTCGCCTTCCCTGCTAATATAAATTTATGAGCATATTGTGTGTTGTGCTAGAGCGATAATGGGTGTGAGGTGGTTCAGTTGGTGGTGGAGGTGTTGTGATTATGGTGGGTGGATGATAGATAGATAGATAGATAGGGACCAAAATGACATAGAGTGCATACGTTGGGGGGACCTCTAGTGTAATTAATAGAACAAATAAATACCTAGGGATGGCATGACATGAGGCGGATAGTTGGCAATGGAGAAGTATTTTATTTTGGGACTACCAATAGATTTGGGAACAACCATTATTTTTAGGTGGTCTTATATCTTACAAGAAGTATGTTGATTAGTACATGTAAGTCAAAAAGTTCATTGAACAAGCTTAAATCTAGAGTGCATGGAATTCTGTGCTCATGTTGGGTTGATGGAGGTTGAGAGCTTATGCAAGGATTTGTAACTATAATCTTTCATGCAGACTTTGTGCAAATGCAGTAGCACTACTACGAGAGCTGTGACTCTCGATCTTTTTTTGAACTTAGAAAATTGAAGATCCTTGTATTGTCCGGTTCCCTACGTTATAGTTCTCAATTTATTTTTCTTTATTGTGTCCACTTTACTTCTTTGCTATGCCCATGTGCACGAGTCATTGATGTACATTTTTCCATTGATGTGCAGGGAAATCAACCATTCTTAGATTGCTCTTCAGGTTTTTTGACACCGATTCTGGACATGTAAGAAGAGATGCTTCACTTATACGTTTTTGTCTTTTGGCTATCATTATGGCCATATCTAAATCTAACTAGCCAAGTTCTGTGGTTAGTTCTTGATTTATTTTCTGCTCTCTTAGGTCTGCATGTAGTAGGCCCAGGATTCTGATACAACTACAATGTGGATCTGGAATACAAAGATGTGTAATAATTGCTCTTTTCACATGTAAATGGAAACTCTTTTTTAAGGGGAAAATGAAAAAATAATAAAAGCAAAAGAAAACACCTGTCCTTTTCAAAGGGGAATGCTGACACATATCTAGCCATGAAGCAGTTTTTGATCTATGTGTATATGTGCCATGTAGGGCTTGTTGTCAATTCTAACATTTTACTTTGGATTTCAAATTTCATCTCTTGGAGTATTTTGGTGCGGACAAGGTGGCGGCATACATGAAGCTTACGCACTTGTTCGTGCGTTTTAGCTCAAGCATTATATATTGTGTATCCTCACATTTGCCCGGCTTGTAATTTTTGTGGAGGTTGATGTAATTGAACTGTCTGAAATCTGATACAACTAATACTAATGATTCAGTGTCTAAATATGATTGCTTTTTGGTTTTCCTCTTTCCCTAAGTGCTACCAAAAATTTGCTACTTGGCAGATTCGGATAGATGGCCAAGATATACAGAAGGTGACACTTGAGAGTCTTCGGAAGCTTATTGGTGTGGTTCCACAGGATACAGTGAGTTGGCAATTGCAACAAAATATCTGTGCTACTACTTTTCCTATTTTCTTAGTATTCATATGTTCTCATAAAAAGTCACACACGTGATAAAATCAGCTGCATTTTGGGCAGGTACTGTTTAATGATACAATATTTCACAACATTCATTATGGTCGACTTTCAGCAATGGAAGAGGAGGTGCATAATAAATTTGTATTTACTTCTGCTTCTATGCTCAGAAAATCATGTCCATGTTAACTTTCGTCATGCTTCCGAATAACTTATTTTACTAGGTTTATGATGCCGCTAGAAGGGCAGCAATTCACGACACCATTATGAATTTCCCAGACAAATATTCTACTGTGGTAGGGGAACGAGGGCTTAAGGTAAGAAGCTAACTGATTTTGGAAAATTCATACTTTTGTCTCACGTTTATGGGGGGGGGGGGGGGGTAAGATTAGACTGAAGAAAGCCTCATCTAGGACCTTGTTTTAAGGATAGGGTGGATACAGCTTTGAGTCTGCCTTGATATCAGTGTTTTCAGTTTTGTTCTTTTTGGCTCAATCTTATTGCTAGAATTTATTTTTCATTTTTCCTTGGAGCCCGGGTTTGGTATCAGCGTTTTCAGTTTTGCTCTTCTAGCTCAATCTTATTGCTGGAATTTTTTTTTCCCATTGCTCTAATGTTTGCTAGCTGAAGAGATGTGTAGATTGGTTATATTGGGTGAAAATTACCATGGTTGATCAGTATACTAGAATCTCCCTCTGCATTATCTCAGCTGATTTTCCTTGCATTATCAAATTTTCTTTCCGTCAGCTAAGCGGTGGTGAGAAGCAGCGGGTGGCTCTAGCTCGTGCATTCTTAAAAGCACCATCCATTTTGTAAGTGCCATCTTCTTTACTCCAGCTTGACAAAGTGACAAGGTTTAATTTTTTAAAAATGTCTCCTATTTGAGTGCCCTTGATTAAAATAAACTGTTTGTGTGACACTGCATGTTCTATGTAAGGTAATTTTCTTAGTATTATTACCTGTGCATGTAATGGAGGAATTGATGAACCTGTAATCAACTGAGTAAAGTGTTAAGATTAGAGAGGAGCTTAACACAATATGAGAAAGACAAAGAGAGGTTTTGGCATGACCTACCTCTCACTATTGGCCTTATATTTATAGTCACTGAACAAAGAATTTAAAATACAAGTATACCCTTTGTGTGGTATACATAAACGTAAACCCTAATTACATTATAGTAACTTTCCTAATTGTATTATAGTAACTTTCTCAACACTCCCCCTCAAGTTGGACTATAAATATCATATAATCCAAGTTTGGAACAAATATCTGCAAGACGAGTACGACTCAAGGCTTTGGTGAACATGTCTGCAAGTTGATTCTCAGATTTAAAAAACAGAGTTGCAATGTCTCCACTTAGTATTTTGTCTCGAATAAAATGACAGTCAACTTCAATATGTTTGATTCTCTCATAGAACACTGGATTGACAGCAATATGAATGACTACCTGCTTATCACAGAACAGTTATAACGGTAATTGAACTGGAAAACCAATTTCCTGAATAAAGTGTAGTAGCAATGTCAACTCACTAGTCATATGGGTCATTGCTCTGTACTCAGTCTCGACACTGGATCGTGCTACCATTGTTTGTTTTTTACTTTTCCATGAAACAACATTGCCTCCCAAGAAGGTGCAATAACCAGTAGTTAACTGTCGATCAGATGGAGAACCAACCCAATCAGTATCTGAAAAACCTTCTACTCGAAGATGTCCATTAGCTCGATATAATAATCCAAGACCAAGAACTCTTTTGAGATATCGAAGAATATGAATAACTGCATCCCAATGTGGTACTCTAGGACATCTCATAAACTGACTGCATATGCAATATCTGGTCGGGGTAATAGTGAGATAATTAAGCTTCCCAACCAACCTGCGATACCGACCTGGGTTATCAAATAGAGCGCCATCATCCATCAACAACTTTTAATTTGGATCCATAGGACTATCAACTGGTTTACTACCTAGTAAACTTGCCTCTTTTAGCATGTTAAGTACATATTTTCTCTGAGATAGACAAATACCCTGCTTAGATCTGACAACTTCAATACCCAAGAAGTACCTAAGTTTTTTCAAATCCTTCGTATGAAATTTGTCTTGCAGAAATATTTTCAACTTAGTAATGCCTTCAGAATCATTACCAGTGATTACGATATCATCAACATAAACCACCAGTAAAGTATACCCTGCATCTGTCTGTCTGTTCGTGAAAAACAGAATGATTTGTCTGACATCGAATAAGGCCAAACTCTAAGATTTCATCAAAGAATTTACCAAATCATGTTGTTGGTGACTGCTTCAAACCATACAGAGATTTCTTCAGTCGACATACATTCCTACGATACTCCCTCTGAGCAGTAAACCCAGGTAGGTGCTCCATATAGACTTCCTCAGTCAAGTCACCATGCAAGAATGCATTCTTGGCATCTAATTGAAACAGGGGCCAATCAAAGGTTAACAACCAAAGAAATTAAAACACGTACAAAGGTGATTTTGGCAACGAGAGAAAAGGTCTCTGCATAATCAACCCCATATGTTTGAGTGAAGCCCTTAGCAACAAGTCGAGTTTTGAGACGCTCAACAGAACCATCTGGATGAAACTTAGCAGTGTACATCCATCGACAACCAACTGTCCGTTTTTTCGGTGGTAAGGGAATAAGATCCCAAGTCCCATTCTGATGTAAGGCATCCATGTCAACTTCCATAGCTTTCCTCCAACCCAGATCAGATAAGGCACCCTGTAAAGTCTTACGAACAGAGACAGTAGAGAGTTGTGTGGTAAAGCAGGAAAAACCAGGTGATAAGGCATCATAGGAAACAAAATTACCAATGGGATGTTTAGTAACACATAATCGAGTACCTTTCTTAAGAGCAATCGGTAAAGAGTCAGAATTACCTGAGGGATTTGGATTAGGAGACGACAGGGAGAGTGGCATGGGCACTTCAGCTGATGACTGCGCACGACGGGAATATACACGGAGTGGAGCAGGGGATGGGTACAGAATAGAGAGTGGAGTAGGTGACGGTAAGGTAAGAGGTGGTTCAGGAGACTGCCCAAAATCAAGATCCAAAGGTGCGTGGGAGTCGAGAAATACAAAATGTCCTCATTAAAAGTGACATCAACGCTAATGAATAACCGACGAAGAGTGGGACTATAACAACGATACCCTTTTTGTGTACGAGAATATCCAAGGAAGACACACTTGGTAGCATGAGGGTTAAGTTTATCAAACCCAGGCCCCAAGTTATGGACATAACAGACACACCCAAACACTTTAGGAGGTAAGGAGAATGAGGAGGTATGAGGTGCAAGAACGGAGTATGGACTTTGCCCATTTAAGACTGACGACGGTATACGATTAATGAGGTGACAGGCGGTAAGAACAACATCACTCCAAAAGGCACGAGGTACATGCATTTGAAATAACAGTGTTCGGGTAACTTCCAATAGATGTTGATTCTTACGCTCAGTAACCCCATTCTGCTGAGAAGTATAAGCACAAGAGGTTTGATGAATAATGTCAGTTTTACGAAGATAAGAGGATAAATGATCAGATTCATATTCTCTAGCATTATCAGAACGAAGAATACGAATATGACAATCATATTGTGTTTTTATTTCTTAATGAAAAGTCTCAAATATAGAGCATAACTCAGAATGGGCTTTTATAAGAAATAACCAAGTTAGTCGAGAATAATTATCCACAAATGACACAAAGTAAGGAAATTTATTAGATGAAATATTCATTATTGGGCCCCATACATTAGAATGAACTAAAACAAATGGACTCGATGCACGATTATTGACTCTAGACTTGAAAGAAATACGGTGATGCTTACTAAGTTGACAAGTTTCACAAAATACAGACGATACATGACTTAGACTAGGAACTTGGCGCTTCAAATTCTGGAATGAAGGATGACCAAGCTGACAGGGCCACTGAAAGGGAGATGATGAGGTTTAAAACGCTCGAGGAGATGTATCAAGATCAAAATAATAGAGACCACCAACTTCATGCGCTGTACCAATCTTCTTCTTTGTCTGGAGATCCTGAAACACACAGTAGGAAGGAAAAAATATTACCGAAACTTGGAATAGTTGTGAGTGGAAAAAAAGGGATACAAATTAAGTGTAGAGCCCCCGTATATATAGTCAATGAGAATTACAATAAGGACAAAAAGGTAAAAAGAAAAACCTAATAAAACTCTAATAAACTAGGCTGTTGTTATATCTCCAACACTCTCCCTCAAGCTTGGCGCAAAAATGTCAATTAAGCCAAACTTGACAACGGAGTCCTGAAAAATAGATAGAATGACAGGTTTGGTAAAAACATCCGCAACTTGATCATTGGTCTCCACAAACGATGGAGTGACAATACCACTGCTAACCTTCTCCTGAAGAAAGTGAACATCGATCTCTATATGCTTCGTCCTCTCATGTAGTACAGAGTCAGAAGCGAGCTGAATAGCAGATCGATTATCACAATATAATGTGGATGGAGAAGTCACTGAAAATCCCAATTCACCAAGAATCGATCGTAGCCAGAAAATCTCACACGTGCCAAGTGCCAGTGCCCGATACTCTGCCTCTACTGACGAGCGAGAGACAGCTGCCTGCTTTTTACTCTTCCAAGAGATAAGATGAGTCCCTCGAAAAGTACAGAAACCTGTAGTAGATCAACCGTCACATGCTCTCCCATAATCTGAATCTGAGTAACAGGCTTAAGAACCGGTCTGAGATCCTGATGCATAGAACAACCCAAGTCCAGGACAAGACTTAAAGTACCAAAGAATATGATAAACTGCATCAAGATGAGGCTGACACAGCCTGTGCATGAACTGATTAACTCGGCTGACTGCGAATGAAATGTCTGGCCTAGTGTTGGCTAAGTAGATAAGTCTACCTACCAACCTCTGATAAACTGTCGGATCTCTCAACTCCTTACCTTCAGCAGTAAGTTTCAGGTTTGGAATCATGGGTGATGATGCCGGTTTGCACCCCAGCATCCTAGTGTCTGAAAGAAGATCCAAAACATACTTTCTCTGAGAAAGAATAAAACCCCTGCTGCTACGGGCAATCTTAATCCCAAGAAAGTATCGTAGAAATTCAAGGTCCTTCACATTGAAGGCCTTCCCAAGGTCTACCTTGACCTGCGCAGTCCTAGAAATATCATCACCAGTAATAATAATATCATCAACATATACTAGAAGGATGATACATTGTCCAGAAGTATTCCGTCGAATAAAGCAGAAACACATTCTTCACATCGAACTGATGAAGAGGTCAAGAGTACTCCGCAGCCAGAGAAATAATCAACCGAACAGTAGTCAATTTTGCCACGGGGGCAAATGTAGCATCAAAATCACGACCTGGTACCTGAGTAAAGCCCTTCGCCACAAGCCTAGCCTTGAGACGATCAATAGTACCATCAATAAGAAACTTCAGGGTGTAAACTCAGCGATAACCAACAGGTTTCACTCCTGAAGGTAAAGAGACAAGATCCCATGTATGATTATGCTGACGAACGTCCATTTCTGTCTGCATGGCAAGAACCCACTGGGACTCCCGTATAGCCTCCGAAACAGAGCGAGGAACTGACGTATCTAATATGGCCATACTATAAGCTCGAAATGTAGGAGACAAATCACCATAAGAAACATAAGCAGAAATCGGATATAATATCCTGGCGGTCCAACCATAACGATCAACTGGACGACGATCACGCCGCGAATAACGACGTTCTAAATCATCATCCTCCACTGATAATGTCTCATCAGGTAAAGGAACTGGCTCAACACTTGCAAACTCATCAGT